CCCCCCCACCCCCTCCCCTGCAGCCAGGCAGACACCTGGGCTCCTGCTTGCCACCTTCACCCACGAGTTTCCCCATTCTCTTTCTCCGCCTTCCTCCCCGGCTTCAAGCCTCTGAAGAGTACACCGCCTCCCACTGGTGACCTCGCGTCCGTCCTGATTTTGTCCTGGGAAGCAGGACAGGGAAGAATGAAGTGTTTTGTGGGCAAAGATGAGGTAGGCGAGGTGCTTGGGTCCCTACCTATTACTCACCTCGATTTCGTTGGTGTTCCTGTGTCTTTCACCCCGCCAGCACGTGCTGATCACCGTTGGTTCTCTCTTAAGTGAAGGGGATTTGTCTGGCATGCTCTGGCGATGGGGCGTAGACACTGGGGACTCCATTAACAAAGTCCTGTATAGTGGAACGAATGTTCGCGTGTGTCCTTCAGACTCAGTATACCTGGGATGATCATGGCAGTACACAATGCTCTGATAAACTAGGTCACAAGTAGTGCAGACAAGAGAGAACAGGGAAGGATCTAACAGTAGTTGGGACGGCCTCTTGGGCGTCTGAAGGAGTTGAGTTTATAAGGGTAACCTAGACGAGGGAGAAATACAAAGGTTTTTTTTTTTTTTTTTCATTAAAGTTATTTCGAAAAGAAGGTGGGAGACTTTAGAAGAGCCTATACCTGCAAACTGACAAAATACACTATATACAATTTATAATTTGATAGTTTGACACAAAACAAGATCTTTAAGTGTTGTCCAATAACCTTTTCATCTACTTGTTAAATGTGTCACCTACTTCTTGTTTAACATATTCTCTACTTGTTGATTTACCATGTTACATTTTAAAGGACACAGAGTCTATTGTGTAATTGTCTCTGCCCTTTGACACTGCCAATGTAATGTGTATACTATCTTTTACCGTATTTATTTGATTGATTGGTTTGTTTTCCAATTGACCTGGTTATATGTTCTTTGCCTATGTTTTATATTGAAAGTATCCCAGAACATAATAATTATTTTTGGTTCTTGATGGGTACCCAACCCAATGCTATAAATAGCAATTAATAAATATTTATGATGACAAAATTCTAACTTATACTTCTTTCCAAGCATAAAGAAGATTATGGTAAGTGGCAGGATCTTTTGGAAGGGAAGGTAATTAAAAGTAACTGGTTTATTGTGTAACTCAAGCAGCTACTATTTTCTTTAAATGTTCTTTTCTTAAAATTAACCAAACAATATTTTGGTTTTATTATTTATTTAATTTATTACTCTCACAAATTTGCAAAACTAAAATTTTTTAGATTGAAATGATCATTTATTTCTCAGTTCTCAACCACAAGTTATGTAATCAGACAGATTTTAGTAGCTGTAAAAAAAAAAATCGAGTTCAGTCTCTCCATTTGGGAAGTGAATAAAGATCTAGCAAAGTTCATTTGAACTTCACTTACAAAAAATGATTACTAGGGACCAACAGTTAGCGTAAGGCTATGTTGCTGGACTCCCATGTAGTCGACCCCAGTTCAAGTCCTGGACCCGGTGGCTTAAACTCACTCCAGGCACTTGTGCATGCGTGCCCAAGATCCAGAGAGGAGAATGGAGAAGGGACTGTGGCGTGGCCATCCCCCCGGGGGGGTGATTTCTCGCTTTCTATTTCTCTGTCTCTCTCTGTCTTTCTGGCGATCGCACGCCCCCTATAGCGAAAGCCTCACCAAAAAAAAAAAGAATAAATATTACTAAATCTTTAGTGTAGAGCCCTAGTTTTGTGTTTGCTTTTTTTTATTTATAGGAAGAACAGATTCCTACACTTAGCCAGACTCACACAAAACCTCAGTACCTTTACTTATTTAATACAATGTGACATTGTTAAAACAGCTTTGGATATATATTTCCCCAGCCTATCTTCTACACAGGAGGCCAAGGTAAGTCCTTTGTTCACTAGGGGGCATCAGTCACATATAAGAAAATCACTGCTGAGCGGTAAATGTGATATTTGCACCTATATCACCTTGTTCATGCTCCACTTAGAAGACTAGTACATTTATTTATACTTATGAGCTGTTCAAACATACACCAACAACCAGAGCTATATAACTTACCCAGTCTGGAGTTTTATTACACACAGGTGTGTGAGTAATTTGGAATTATCACTTGGCATGAAGACTACAGTCCAATAATTAATTCACAAGTGGTTTACAAATACCAATGATTGCCCAGAGCAAATTCTACTTAATCCAGTTGTGCCATGGGAAGTAGACCTTCATGTCTACCCATCTAAAATGACAGTAATACATCCAAGATCTTGATGGCATCATACAGAACAAAAGCACATATAGACTTTTGTACTATTTGCAAAATTTTGAGAAGAGAGTTTCTTTGGTGTGGATTGAATATTAATAGGATAGTCATGGTTATTACCAAAGCTAAAGAAGAGAACATTACTATAATTAAAAAAACGATTTTGGAACCAGCAGTTAGCATAATGGCTATGTCGCTGGACTCCCACATAGTCGACTGCGGTTCGCGTCCCAGACCCAGTGGCTTAAAACTCACACCAGGCATGTGTGCGTGTGTGCCCAAGATCCCGAGAGGAGAATGGAGGAGAAGGGATTGCCGCGTGACCATCCCCCCTGGGGGGGTGATTTCTCGCTTTCTGTCTCTATGTCTCTCTCTGTCTGGTGAGCACATGCACCCTATAGCGAAAAAAAAAATTCTCCAAAAAAAAAAGAAAAAGAAAAAAAAAGATTTTATATAAAATAGCAAATAATAGTAAATGTCTTATAATCTATGCAAGGTTATTCATTTTTCCCACTAGTCTTTCCTCTTTTCCATGAGGGCAATATTATTAGCAACCTGTACTTTTTCTTTAGTAGGGGGAGGTTTTGCTATAGGGTGCTTACACTCACCAGAAAGACAAAAAGAGATGAGAGACAGAAAGCGGGAAATCCCCCCCCCCGGGGGGGGGGGGCGGTGACCACACCTCAATCCCTTCTCTTTCATTCTCCTCTCAGGATCTTGGGCACACAAGCACATGTGCCCGGCATGAGTTTAAACAACTGGGTCCAGGACTCGAACTGTGGTCGACTACCTGGGAATCCAGCGATGTAGCCATTAGGCCATCTGCTCATCCCATGTAACCTGTACTTTTAAAGAAAAGCAAACCTGGGACCAGCAAGCGGTATGGTAGTTAAAGAGCTAGATCCCACATAGCTGACTCTGTGATTTGAGTCCCAAATCCTTTGGCTTGAAAAACACTTCAAGTCGTGTGTGTACATTCTCAAAATCCCAAGAGGAGAATGGAGAAGGGATTGTGGTATGGTCATCTCCCTGGGTGGTGATTTTTCCCTTTTATTGTCTGTCTCACTCAAGCTCTCTTTGGTGGGCACATGCACCCTATGGTAAAAAATAAATAAATAAATCTGGAAACCTCTTGGGTTAGGAGTAAAAGCAAATAGTCTTATTTAAAAAGAGTTTGTAGAGGGCCATCAGGTGCATGGAGGTAAGGCATCTGGATCCCCATGGGTGACTGCATGGTTCAAATCCCAGACCCAGTGCCTTGAAAAACACTGGGCAAGAGACCAGCAGTTAGCGTAATGGCTATGTTGCTGGATTCCCAAGTAGTTGACTGCAGTTCATGTCCTGGACCCGGTGGCTTAAAACTCACGCCGGGCGCGTGTGCATGTATGCCCAAGATCCCAAGAGGAGAATGGAGAAGGGATTGCAGCATGGCCATCCCCCCTGGGGGATGATTTCTCGCTTTCTGTCTCTCTGTCTCTGTCTGTCTGTCTGGCGAGCACACACGCCCTATGGCAAAAACATCTCAAAAAAAAAAAAAATCAACACTGGACAAGTATGTATGGATACCCAAAATCCTGAAAGGAGAGTGGAGGAGAAGCGATTGTGGTGTGTCCATCCACTGTGGGAGGGTGCTTTCTCACTTTCCTTCTCTTTCTCTTTGTGTCTCTGCCTCTCCTGCTAGAGCATGCACCTATAGGGAAAACTAGAGGGGAAAAAAGTTTGTAGAAAGACTCACTCTCCTAGAAGTAATTTTGCTGAATATATACTACTTATAGAAAATGGAAGAAATTGTTGTTCATACTACTTGCTGTCTGTTAGTTTCAGTTCTTTTCTTCTACTTGACTCTATGCTCTGACAAAGATTTTATTTTTAAATGAGCCCATGACATATCACAGGTGCATGAGTAATTTGGAATTATACTCCTTGCCTTAAGAACTTTTTAAAAACATCTACTTTTTACCTTGCATGGTTTTGCTATTAATAGAAGGTACGTGTGCTTGCCAGAGAGAGATAGAGAGGGATAGGGAGAGGAGAAAGTACCACTACCACCCACCCCCTGCTGTGGAGAATGGTCACACCACAATTCTTTCACCTCCATCTCCCCCTTTGCTCAGGATTTTGGGCACTCACATACAAGCACACATATACACCCAAATGTGTTTCTCAAGCCTCTAGGTCAGAACTTGAACCACGGGATCAGCCATGTTAGATCTGGTTGCCTTAATCACCAGGACATGGAGCTGCTCACAGTTATTTTTATTTACTAAACTAAAATTTCCCTGATAATACACAAGCTTTAAAAAAGTAACAACAGGGTCAACACCATGGCCTGTTGGTTAAGGAAACCAGATCCCAGATGGCTAGTCAAATAGTTGGAGTCCCACCTCAACAG